GCCTTTTTCAGTTTTGTGGAAAGGATTACACTAATATTGGAATTTTTATTTTTAGCGCCACATTAGTTGACATTAGCGGCTGCACTGTTTCAACGCTTCATCAAATTCTGTCAGATGTCAATAATTTTTTCGTTTGTACTGGTACGTTTTCCCTCACTTTGTGCGTTAATTGACTTGTCTTGTTTTCATTTTTGCTGTCTTCCCCTTTGTTAGAACTTTAATAAGTGTCTCAAAAAACAGTTTTTATCAAAATTACAGATCATTGTGGAATAATCTCAGGTAATGAACAGAGAGGAATAACTATGGTCAGTGTTACAAATGATTTTTTTAGTTCTTTGGCGCAATCATCATGCCTATTACCGTAATGGGGTGTTAAATGAGGATGGGGATGGAGTGTACTCTGTGGAGGCGTCTAAAAACGAGTATCTGGTGAAGTGTTCTGTTGTCATTGATGAAGAATCTTTGAAGACGCTATATGGCGAATTATGGCCAGATTTAACGACACTGGTAGCATTTCTAAGTGAAAACCGACGGGGAGACCTCAAGTTAGTGAAGACGTTGTTGAAGATTTAAGGATGAGAATGGAACAAAGTCCGAATAAAGCTTTGTCAAAAATCTTTACTGTCCGGAGTACCATACAGCCCATGTCAGAAAATCGTAAAAGAGAAGTTACATATGCATCCATACAAGATTTTGTTGGTTCAGGAGCTGCAACCAGCTGATTTTCCTTGCCGCGTTGGGTAGTGTAGTTGGTTTCAAGCTGATATGGACGATAACGGGATTCTCGATTTGTCGTTCTTTTCTGATGAAACCTGGTTTCATCTGTTAGGCTATTATGTCAATTGACAGAACTTCAGAATTTGGTGTATAGAAAATACTCACGCTTTTGAAGAAACACCATCACACGCAATGAAGGTTGGTGTGTGGTTAGCAGACGACGATTCATAGGCCTGATACTTTTTCAAGTAAATGAATGTGATCAATAAACAAAATTAGATGTAGAAAGTGTATGTAGGTACTGCAATAAAGTTTTTTATTTTCAATAACTTTCATTTTTCTTTCGGTGTTAGTTGCATTCTCTTAATTTAAAACTTACTTCAACTTACTGTTTAGTAATAATTGTAATTTTACTATTAGGAAAGTTAAAAATCTTTATTAAACATTCTGTTGTTTCAAGAGATCTCATAATCAGCTACAGAACTCTTAACACTATGTTCCTGAAATTTTATTGGTTTTTTCATCTTTTTTCTTATAGAAATTTTGAAAAATCTTGATATTAGGATGGCCATGTGGGCGTGTTTTGGGTAGAACCTCTTTGACATTCCTGTTATGCAGATCTGGCATGTTTCAGATATCTAGAAACTGCAAAGCTGAAGGTAATGTTTGGACATAGCAGTTTTCACCTATTGTAGGGATGAAGATCAAGGATTTCAGTTGTGTTTTTTCAAGAGAAAAGCACCGGTCACAAACCATGTCTGCACCAATATTTTGACGATTCCTTTCAATTTACAAACAGAACTTTCGCGGGATCACAACTTTGGCAAAATTATTTACTGCAAAAACTCATTAGGTACTCATAGTGTTCGTTAACTGTGATAAGACTTGCTCTGCCATTGTCCATTACGTGATTTTTCACAATTTTTACCTTCAGGGTACCTATAAAAATGTAATTTTTTAAATAATTACCGTGTTCATTAGTTTCGACAAACTTAACCTCACTTTTTGGATTTCATTATTTGAAAAATTATTGCTTCTTTGCAAAACAGACCAGATGATTTATTCTGTTCAACTCCAATCGACTTTCCAAGGTGTAATTCATGACAAAGCCCTTAAACGTTTTTCTGACAATTTACAATTTTTGAAACTGAAATGTATTGCAGTGGCGTTCACAAATGCCCGATAACACTGCAACCCTTAATGCTCTGGCCTGGCGTCATTTCGTGTCTATTTAAAATGAATTTAAACCGCGAACCGGGCATTTCAATTTTTGACACATCTGACAGATTTGTTTGGACGTTCGTGACATTTCAAAACAGTTCAAATCATTTTGGTGATTAGCGGCACGAGAAAAATTTCATTTGTTTTTCATAGGTGAGTTGACTACAATATTTTATAATGACCCTGTATAATTTGAAAAATAACTTAAATCCCGGGCCAGATGGCATTCCTGCCTTCTTTATAAAATATTGCAGTCCAATTCTCACTTGGCCAATTACCCTTCTTTTTCAACTTTCTCTCGATTCTGGCACATGACCTGAACAGTGGAAATCCTCATTTATTATCCTTTTGCATAAATTTGGCTCTAAAAATGAAGTTAAAAATTACAGACTTATCGCTTCCTTGTGCTCTTTATCTAAAGTTCTTGATTCTATTGTTTCTGACCATTTAATCTCAACATTTAAAAATAATATTTCCATCCACCAACATGGCTTTTTACCCAATCGTAGTAAATCAACTAACCTATTTGAGTATACTAATTTTATCAACAACTCAAAGGAACAAGGATATCAAGTCAATGCTATTTGACTTCTCCAAGGCTTTTGACCGTGTTGATATACAACTTCTTTTAAAAAAATTAAAATACTACGGCGTGATTGGAAGTATTTTATCTTGGATCAGATCTTATTTAACGCACAGAACGCAGGTAGTCAGTATAAATGGCCATCAATCAAAAGTTATCAATGGTCATCTCGGTCCAGTGCTTTTCCTTTTATTTGTTAACGATGTCACAATGTGCTTTTCTCACTGCAAATATCTTCTTTTCCCTGCCGGTTTAAAATCATGTATGAAAGTTACTGATGTCAACGATACTCTAGAAATTCAACACGATATAGATTCATTTTGGAAATGGTGTTGCGAAAATTCCATGAACTCTAATATAGATATGTGTAAAACCATTTCATTTACAAAAAGCAGTGTACGAATTCATACTTCATATCATATCAATAATAACATATTGTCGAAAACCTACACAGATTTAGACCATGGTGTTACACTAGATTCTAAATTGAATTTCAGCGCTCACATTGACAATGTTTTAAGTTAGAGTTTTCGCTTGTGTGGTTTTGTTAAGAGGTGCTGCAAAAATTTTAACAATATAATAGTAATTATTAAATTATTTTCTACGTTGCTGAGGCCAGTTCTCGAGTATTGTAGCATAATTTGGAATCCGTTCTATAAAATACATATCGATACGATCGACCAATTTTCCATGAGAACTAAGATATATATATATAAATCTGAATAATTTAAATTTAGAGCTTGATGAAATCTTGATTATTAATGACCTTCGTTTGTTGATCAATGATAACAATTATCTACCGTTGCTATTTAAGTGTTATTGATTTTTATTTTGAACAAAACAAAACACTCTTTAACATCATCTGCTAGGGAAACAACTGGCTTATTTAGATCAAGCTTGAAAACTGGAAAATTTATTTCGTATTATCATAAGGGCTCAACAAGGACAACACTAATTAAATTTTTTAAATTCAATCATTGTTATCAGAAATCGTCTTATCTTTGAGCGATCAAAACATTACTAAAAAATTTCCAGTGATCAAGCGATACCAGTTCAATATCTCAAAAGTGTTAGTGTCCACAAAAACGTAGGTTCAAATAAAGACGAATTTTTTTCTATTAAGTTGATTATTTTAGTCAACATGCAACAGTTCATTTTTACTTTTCCTTTGGTATATTTTTCGTCTCAGTCTCTGCTTGGAACAAAGAAACTCATCTCAAAGGGTTAGCTCTCGCTTGTTGAAGTCTAAAAAACTAGCAAGCTCTAATTTTAGATATATACTTAGTTCTTTATGCTGCCTCTGTTCCGCCGTTCTCTGTATCCTAAAATTATTTATTACGATTATTGTGGCACGAATGGGTCGGTTGGTAACAAAATCAACATTTTCGTGATCATTTAACACAAAAGGGGGCAAATAGATGCAAATATTTAGTTGGGCTAGTTATTTTTTGTGCATTGGTTTCACCTTTCGATCACCTTAGTAGGAGTAGACACTTAATTTGATATAATTTACATTTTAACGAATCAAACATTGTCAAAATCCAAAAACTGTTAATCAGTGTGTGTTATCACAACTAGATTAGAGTAGCATTAAGGATGATAAAAGTAGTAAAACTTCTTTTGTTTCCTTCTCTCACAATTTATATTTCACTTAGGAAATGATCTTCGCACGATTTTACTAAGACTGGAATTGTCATGAGGCATGAGTAAACCTGGAAAATTTTAAATCTGGACTCGTTGCATTTACTTAGACAAATGTTGCAAAATGGTATAAAATCGGTTATTATTTCATATAATTTCGCCATTGATAAGAATTTCGTTACTTGGGTTGCTGAAATGTTTTCGTAATCGTTGACTCCTACATGTTGAAATCTCGACAAAAGCTCCTGGTTGGCCTTTAATTTTTGTATTTCAGTTACATAATTTTTGTCATCAAAATTGTCTTGCAATACTTCTTCATTAAGATTTTTATTACAAACACAAATATTGAAAAATCGAGTGGGGTCAAGTCAGGAGATCGGGGGTGACACTCTGGATTGGCTCTTAAATTTATTATGCGCCCGACATAAAATTGTTCCAAATATATTAAATTTTCTCTTGTCGTATGAAACTAAACAGTGCAGCCACTAATGTGGCGTTAGAAATAAAAAATCCAAAACTATGAAAGGCGGCACACAATGTCAACAAAGTCATGGCCTTCCTTGACTACAATATTTTGTGATGAGCCTGTACAATTTCCGATTGTCAGTTGTGAAGATTGACAGATTGTTCACATTTTGTTTCATTTGTTAAATGGTATAACAATTATCAACTCTTCTTTAAGATCATCAAGTGTAAATTTATTTCGCAATATCACAAACTCTCAACAAGGACAAAACTAATGCTTCTTCAAACAAAATTTATAAACAAATATCTAATCTAATCTCAAAATTTTAAAATTTAATCACCTTATCAGAAATCGTCTCATTTTTCATCGAAATATTACTAAAAAAATCTCCAATGACCAAGCGATACCAGTTCAACATCCCAAAAGTGTTAGTGCCCCACAAAAACGTAAGTTCAAATAACGATGAATTTTTTTCTACTAAGTTGATTTTTTTAGTCAAAATGCAACAGTTAATTTTTTATTTTTCATTCGGTATTTTTCTCGTCTCAGTCTCCGCCTGGAGCAAAGAAACTCATCTCATGATTCAAAATTTTTCGAAAGATGACATCATAACGACAGTTGTGAATGGCGTAGACAGTTATGATTTTGAGAAAGGAAACGGTCCAATAGAGAAGTTCCAAGGAGCGGCAATTCCTGCAGGAGCTTTTCTTGAAAAGAGAATCGAAGTGGACTATTTCGCGTCAAATTGTCCTTTTACCATGACTTTTTCGTTTCGCGATGGCTCAAAAACTTGGTTTAGAATTAATCAAAAGCATGTACTCGGCTCGAAAGCAGAATTTTCGTACAAAGGGAGCCGCGAGATTACGTACTATAAATCTGGAAAAACTCTTGTTGTAACTGTTAAAGATATTAGTAAAACGGATACACCTACTGTACCCAAAGAGACAGCTAACAGTAAAACGGTTACACCCACTAGACCGGAAGAAATAGATAACAGTAAAACGGATACACCATCTACACCCAAAGAGACAGATAACTGTAAAACGGTTACACCGATTATACCGAAAGAAACAGATAATAGTAAAACGGATACACCCGCTATACCCAAAGAGACAGATAAGTCAGATAATAGTAAACAGATTATACCCACTGCACCCAAAAACACACAACAAATATCTGAAGACCAGTTTCGCCTACCAATTTGGTATTATCATCTGCAACAGTTATTTTTTCACATAACTAACTTAATAAATGCTGTTATCGGTATATTTTATCACATAAGTTACTTAAAAGACGCTGTTATCGGTATATACAGTTATTTTTATTACTTTAACTGAAGATTAATGGGCAGAGGAGTCGTGTTATGTCTGTGGAACTGTACGATTATAATCAGTACTCACTGTTATAACAAATTATAGACCAACAAATATAGTTTGAAAACTAATTAATTAATCTAAGGACTTTGACGACGAAAGTTTCTAGTTCTCTAATTCTTCTGGCTGTCAATACGGGTAAAGTGTAAACGTCCTTAAAAAATAAATAATTATTTATAGTTTGGTATTTTATTCAATTTTTAAAAATGCCTAAAGTCAAATCGTCTTAAACGATAAATTAAAGGAATGGACGGAAAACAAAGACGTTTTCCAAACACAAAACGGCGAATTGTGCTATAAAGTAGTGTAAAGCTTGTAGGAAAATTGTGAGTATAATTTATTAATGTTTCAGTTGTTCAAAATAAAAAATTAAATAAAATGTGTTATTGTAGGTTTCATGCTAAAAAAGAGCAATGTTCTTCAACATGAAATTACTGACAAAACAAATGTTACTAACATACAAGGCAGACTTTATTTCCTTATTTCGTAGTGAAGAAAAGTCGACACAGACGGAGGATAGACAGACAGACGGAAACGGTTTGTAATTTTTATGTTGTTTCTATCCCCTGATTTGAAAACAGGCCAAATTTTTCCAGACGCTAGGATATTGAGATTTTCTTACCATTATATTAAAAATATAAGACAGTGGTATCACAAAACAACTAAAACAAGCAACAATCAGACACAAAATTAGGCTTAATCTTTTTCACAGCCTCCAAAATATCGTAGTGTTCAATTTTAACCAAATGTAAAGTGGGGAAAAATTCACAGCCAAATTTTACTACACAGAGGTGGGCAAGTTCTTGTTTAGATAAGAGTGAACAATATTAAGAGTGGTCACCAGAATGGAGAGGGGGTTATCATTTATCTACAGTTGTTCTTCTGAGATTGCTTTCGTCTGGAATGATCCTTCTGCAGTATTTTTCCAAAAATGAATTAAATGTAGGATTACTTAACTTATTTAATGGAATATTCGAGGCAATCATGGCCTGGCATAAATCGAACTTGAATGTTTATTCTTCATTTTTGTCTGTGTTAGCAGATAAAGTTTCTCGTATTGATGTTTGAATTACACTGGTTGCGTTTCTTTTTTCACAATTTTTCTTGTGAAGAGGCGTCTGCGGTGTTGGTCTATAAGATGTTTCTTTGTGTTCGAAATCTATAAAAAAAAATTGAAAACAAAAAAATTATTTATGTAAGAGATACCTATTATTGACATTGAATAAATGCAAAACATATTTTTTATTTGGTTCTCTTCGACTTTAGTCTAAGGACTAACATCTCCCCTCCTAAGATAAAAATTTTGGTACAAAAGTTTTGGTACAAATTATAATACATAAGCAAAAGCAGTTAATAGCTAAGTGCCTGTGGTGGTTTCTTCCTTTGAAGTACTTGGAGCAGGAATGAGTTTGGAGATATGAAATAAATTTGATTCTGATTTTCTATGTGTGGTATCTATTTCGTATATAGAATTTGATATTTTCCTTAGAATTTTGTAAGGTCCAGTTCTTAATACATCTAATTTTTTGGGTTCAGTCGGTTACCATTTTCAACATTTACTAGTTCTCCGACCTTGAACTTATCCTATTCTTGTCATACAGTTTTTTATTGCAGTCATGATTTTTTTTACCGTTTTCAAAGACAATTGCTCTATCATTCTCTAGATCATTACTATCTTTCATTTTTTTCAATTCCTCTGGTAATACTGATATATCTTTACCTAGTAATAAATATTTTGGACTAAACTCTGTTACTGTACGCTCTGTTTCATTGTATTTATTTATACAGTTATGTGCTATGCACATTTGTTCTTTTTTTTTTTCATTTATTACACATCTAGTTTTATTTACTAAAGTTTGATTGAGTCTTTCATTCAAACCATTCGAGAATGGTGCGTTAAATGCTGTAAAGATCATTGTGATATTTTTTCTTCTAGGAAATTTTTTAAATCTTTAGAATTTATGCCTGGGTATTGGTCAGTTAAAAGTATTTCGATTTTATGGTTTCTTAGCACATTTTCTGTCAGTTTAATGAAATCCCTCGTGCTTTGTGTCTTTGATGTTACTATGTATGCAAATCTAGTAAAATGATCTACTAGAAGGTGTAAGTATTTTTTAGTGGATCGTGAACCACCGAATCCATCGATTGTATCTATGGAAATCACTTCAAACTTATAGTTTGTCTTCTTGATTTATTTTGTATACAAATTTAACAATTTTTGCAAGCTTTTTCGATATTTTTTGATATATCTTCTGCCGCATAGTAAGGTAATATTTTGTTTTGCATTTGTTTTATGCCTAGGTATGTGGCAAAATTCTTTATGGATATTTTTTATAAGTTTTTTACAAAACTCTTCTGATAATACAATTTTCTTCTTCTTCCTTTACTTTCTATCTTCAAATATTAGATTATTTTTATTATTTGTTAAATTTTCGTTACCCTCTTGGTCTTGTATAATACCCTCTATTTTTATTAGATTGACAATTTTTAATTTATCTTCTTCGTTTTCTTGAGGCTCTAATACTGGGTTTCTGCTTAAGCAGTCTGCTTACAAGTTGTCTCTGCCTGGGTGGTATATTATTTCCATGTGATACTGTGATAAGTAGAAAGTGAGATCCCCTAATTCTTCGTCCGTTCTAGCTTTAATATTCATTTTTTCTAGCGTCTTATGATCCGAAAACATTTTGAAGTGTTTTCCTATGAGCAAGTGTTGTCAATACTGTACTGCTTCTTTTATTGCTATTCATTCTAGGTAAATAGCTTTCTTTCTTTTCTGAGATTCATTAAGTTTCTTGGAGAAGTATGTTACTGGTTTTTCTATTTCCGAATTATTAGTTAGTTGTGGTTGTTTAAATGTGTATTGGTAATTCCGGATCAAAAATAGCTAAGACCAGCTGCTGGCAGAGGAAATTCTTCATATATTCAAAGGCTTTTTGACATTCTGTAGACCACGTGAATTTTTGACCTTTTCTTAATAAATTATGTAGTGGTTCCAGAATAATAGAAATTTTCGGCACATATTCATTATAACAATTTATCTTCCCCAAGAATTGTCGAACATTTTTCTGATTTCTTGGAACCGGAAAATTTCGTATTGAAATGAAATTATCCTTTAGCGGAGAAATTGAATTGTATCCTATTACATGTCCTACATATTGTACGTAATCCAAGGTAAATGTACATTTAGAAAGTTTTAATCGGAAACCTTCATTCATTATTGCTTCTAGTAATTACGACAAATGATTAATGTGTTCTTCGAAGGTTTTTGAAAAAATCAGTATGTCGTCTATATAGTTGACTGCAAAATCTGATAATTTATGTTTTCTTATTATGTTACTTAATATTGTTTGTTTTATCTTATCAGGTACTAGCCCCGCCCACCCACCCTCACTTCCCTTGGAAGTTATGTTATTTGCCAAAATCACTCTTATCTTAGCAGATACTAGCCCCGCCCACCCACCCTCACTTCCCTTGGGAGGTATGTTATCTGCCAAAATCAGTCTTATCTTAGCAGGTACTAGCTTTCTAAGAAAATAAAGGGCGGGTGGGCGGGGATTGTGGTTGCCCAGATAAGGCTGATATTGGCAGATAATATATCTCTTAAGAAAATAAAGGGTGGGCGGGCGGGGCCAATATTTGTCAAGATAAGAGTGATTTTGCCAAATCATATACCCTTCACCCTTCATTCATCGGAGAGTATGTCATGTGACAAAATCAGCCTTATTTAATAAATACCAGCCCCGTCCACACGTCCTGCATTTTCTTAGAGAGTATGTTATTTGCGATTATCAGCTTGAGCTTATGGGTACTAGCCCCACCCACCCAACCTCTCTTTCCTTGGAAGGTATGTTATTTGCCAAAATCACTCTTATCTTAGCAGATACTAGCCCCGCCCACCCACCCTCACTTACCTTGGAAAGTATGTTATTTGCCAAAATCAGTCTTATCTTATCAGAAATATAGTTGGTGACGTTTTTAGTCCAAATGGTAGACAGGTCCATTGAAAGTGGCCTTCTTAGGTTACAAATCCAGTTTTTCGTCTGTCTTCTACCCTTAGAGGAATGGACCAAAACGCTGAGTTCATGTCAAGTTTCGAAAAGTATCTGCAAATTCTTGTTTTTATTATTAGATCTTCAGGGCTCTGAAATCTATACATAATCTTGATTTTTTGTTTTAATCTTTTTTATAAGCTAGTGTTACTGGGGCTGGAAAAGGGCTGTATGATTCTTCGATTAAATCTCTTTTGAGTAGTTTAGAAATTTGTTCCTCTATTTCCTTTTTGTCTTGAATTGTGCATCTATATGGTCTCTTACTGCAATATTTATCTACTATGAGATCTATTCTGGTTTCGTAATCCTTTACTGTCCCTATATCGTATTTGTCTTTTGCAAATATATTTTTATATTTTTCTATAAGATTTTTTATCATTTTTTCTTCATGATGATTCAAGTGATTTATCAAGATTTCAAAGTTTTCTTGATCTACATGTTCATTGAAATTTATTTGATATCTTTCTTGTTTTTCTTCGAAATCATTAGTTTTCTGTTTTATTTCCAGTTTTTCATTTTGTATCAGTTTGATTTTTTTTATACAATCTAATCCAACTAGAAAGTCATCTTTAAAATTTTCATTATTTATTATGAATAGATCTATCTTTTCTTCTATATTTAATATTTTTGCTTTTACTGTTGTCATTCAATCTGATTTATATACACCATTAATTGTCTTCAAGTTAATCTTTTGCATCGTGTTGTCCTTTTTTGGTTTCAAACGTATTAGTTTTGAATTTATCAATGAGACATTTGAACCTGCGTCATAAATAGCAGATACTTTTAAGATGTCGTTTAGTTTTACCTTGAGACTAATTAATGGTGGAACTATTAGTTTTTTGAGTCATTATTATTCACTTCTACTTCTAATATAGAATTGTTTACGTGTTTTGTTTTTTCTTCATCGTTTTTTCTATCTTTGAACCAGCATTCGGTTTCAGGATGAAATCTAATACCTTTGTTTTTATTTTTGCAGATTTCACTAGGTATCTTTTCGTTTTTGTCTTTGTTATTGACTCTATATATTTTTGTTTCTAGATTTTTCTTAGAAGCTAAATGTTCCAATTTACCTATTTCATCATATAGGTCTTCAGTTTTCTTTAGTTTCTCTGTCAATTCTATCAGCTACG